ATGTGGAGGGGGTTAAGGTGGTTGAGGTGGAGGTAAAGTGGTAGGATGAAGTAATTATAATTATAGGTTGGATCCTGGCAGAGTATTACCATTCTCACCGATTTTCGAGGTTAAGTAAAATTTACCAAATTAGTAAAATACATCTTACCAGATTATCACAGTTATAGAAGTCTAATCATAGTATCTCATCCTAGCATCTGCCCATTCCAAGGACGTGGCTATTTGAATAGATTCAGTAAACTCTGCAGAGGTGTACAAGTTTCCCCACATGATAGACATAGTTCCTAACCATGTGCGATGGCAAGAACAGGCCTAACGAGATCCCGTAACTGCATGGGTGCTACCCTAGATTTCCATATAACTCTACCGCGACTTCTCAGGGGTTGGAAAACACACTAATCTCGAGAGGATACCAAATCGTCCCATCTCATAATCTCGGATTATACCACATCATTCCATCATATAATCTTGGACGATACCAAATCTTCCCAACATAATAGTGTCGATGATACCAAATCATCAAAATAAACAATAATAATATGAGCTCGAACACGGTCAAAATCAAGGGACTTAACGTGGAGGATTACATAGCAACCATGCCAACCGGACCACGGAAGATCATATAGCATCCGTGTCTTCTCCTGATATTTCGCTGCCAACACCAACCTCCTAGTAGAAATTATACTTCAATCTAATGGGGTGTGAGATCAAGTCTACCCATATAGATACGTGGATGCACGTAATATCTCACTAGGCGAGAGGGACTACGAACTGGTTCTTATGTGACCGAGGTAAGTATCTCCCACAGGAACCCTCACCAGACGATCCTACCAAGGTAATTTATCCCCATATAAATTACCCCCACTCGCCCCCTTTCGGGGTTTAGTCCAGTTTTACCGGTTTAAGTTCATAGTTATGATCCTTAGGTTCATAGAGCTCATCACATATCAAGGTAATCATTACCTTATCATAATATCATAGTCAAACTTATATCTTATCACGATAATTATCATCAATGTTCCCATTATCATAATCGAGCTCATGACCCACATAATTCCATTAATTTACAAAGAGTTAAACAATATAAGTTGAGTTTATTCATTAGTGGAGGTGGAAGGTGAAGGGTTTATGGTGAAGGTTAGCAAAATATAGTGGTGGAAGGGGAGGTAGTTAAGGGATGGTAAATAATGTGGAGGGAAGGAATGGGTGGGCGTTAGGACTTGCCTCCATTCGCTGACGATTATATCCTTACTCCAAGACTCCGACTCCTGTGTCTCCTTTTATAGCCAGAGCTAAGGCGGTTCGTGGAGAAATCTCCAGCGACCGTTGTGCTCGTTCTGTACGGCCGCGGCAAGGTGTCGACGAAATTCACGGAGTGGATAAGATCGATGAGGAAGACGACGATGGAGAAAGGCAGTTGCGCACAGTGAGGTCGCTGATATTTTCTTCGCGGGGAGACGACGACGCGGCGCGGACGCGGCGTGCACTGGGCTGGGCTGCTCTCTGCCGAGCTGGGAACGGCACTGGGCTAGGCCCATTCGGCAAGAGGGAGGGGTACACAGAAGAGAGTTTCCTATTCTTTTTGTAATTAATAGTTCCTAGAAAATCAAGAAAAGAAATAAAATACTTTTGTATTTCTAGATATTTCAAAGAAAATAAATTATTTAAAATGTGATTGAGAAGAGAAAGGAAGGGGAATAAACCATGTAATGAGATGGGTTTTATAAAACCCTAAGAAAAGAATGCATTGTCCAGAAAAACGAAAGAAATGATTTGTTGTGCATGGAATTGGAAATTCAGTGAATAATTTTGGTGCCGTAAATAAATTCCAGAAAGCAAACACACAAGCTTTCAAGCAAACATACAAGCATTCAAACAATCACGGGAGCATCCAACTAACATCTCAAGCACAAATGCATATGGTGAATTTTGATGCAAAGACTTTTAGAACTATATTTTCAAATCGGTTTTGCAGAAAGTAAATGGTCAATGTTTTAATTTGTTGTAAAGTTTTAAAAAATTCAAATTTTTAGTGTTTTTTATCATGATGGAAAATTCAGGGTGTTACAAGCGCCCACGCTGACCTTTTCCGCCTCCATGCCTCTTTCCAAGCACTCCCTTGTCCTCTAAATATTTTCTAAGAATAATATCATTAGGTAACAGTCTATTCACATAATAGCATGGTGTTCTGTAAAATCACTTTTCATTTTTCACCCTATAAATTTGAGATATGATTATATGTGAACTTAGAAAAGTCATGAAATGTCAAATTCGAAGACAAACAGCCTAATTCATTGAGTAGATTTCAATTTCTCCCGAATGAAAGGGTCCCTTACAAAAAAACAATAGATATAATAATATTACGAGCAGTTGAACCTTGTTGTCCTCTAAAAATAGAGATTTACACCACTTACCTATTATTATTGTTTGATTCAGTGGATGATCTGACTAATCAAAACGTGAATTACAGTCTAGAATAGTTTGTTGTCCATATATGTCTAGATAAATGTGTCTCGAAACTGTATGCATGTACCAATGTAAATCTCGATGAGGGATAGTACATGAAAAATCAAGAGCCATCATAATCATTAGAGGACAGACCAATCTTCGAAACGTCAGCAACTAACTTGTTATGGACATTAATCAAAGAATAAAATTACATTTTTGTGGATCCACAAGAGATGATGCATGGATAGCATGAAATTAAAGTTATGATACAATTTTGATTAAGAACTAAACCAATCTTATTATAATTGGATTTAGCTGATAATAAATATGTTTTAAAATTGTATGCATGTACTAATGTAATCCTTGACGAGGACAACGGAAAATCAAGAGTGGCCTCCCTTGATAATCATCACGGAACAGAAAGTCATTTCGGCAACCAACTTCTTGCCACCTATAATCGGAGATTGGAATTACAAATTTTTATAGATGCACAAAAGAAGCTGCACGGAGAGTATAGAATTAAATGATATAGTATTAGCTTATATTATAAATGTCATAGTCATCATAAAATAAACTATAGCTTTAAAATTTCAAGACAAGAGTAAAACATAAAATATATATGTATCATTTCGGTTGTCGTTTTTTATAAATATTTAATAGTTTTTTCTCCCGTTGTAACGCACCGGCACGTTTGCTAGTCTAAAATAATGGAAAAAAGGTTGGTCATCCAACTAACACTTTTAACCGGCAAATTAATGAACTTGGACACTTGGCATGTGTTTGGTTTGGGGACCAAGTGGATTGGGTTGGGTCTAACCTAGTCTTTTAGGATGAGATGAACCCATCTCATGTTTGGTTAAGGGGGTGGGTTGAACCTAGTTTTTTGTTGGGTTGGAGGGATCGAGAAGGATGGAATTGATGACATTTTCACACCATTAGCAATAGCCATTAGTGGGGCCCACCTATCATCAATGGGGCCCGCTTGTCATCCTCTTTTTTTTCTTTTTTTTCCCTACATTATGTTCTTCCTCCGGCCGAGCATGCGAAGCGGTCCCCCGCAGAGCCGCAACATAGGCCCACCGTCTAGGTCATGCGAGTGCCGCCATCGATGCCCTAGAGCCGCACCACAGTCTAGCCGAGCATGCGCCGCCGCTCGCCCCCCTAGAGCCGCCCACCCCGCACTATAGGCCTGCCGAACCCAAGCACATCGCCGGCCACTGCCACCTTCCCGAGACCGATCTCGGCCGTCCTGCCCGCTACTTGCCCGAGCCCATGCTCGCCCGAGCCGGCCAGTCTGCTCTAGACCGTCGGAGGTCCGCCATCTCCCGCTATAGACTCATAAACAATCTTAAATGAGAAAACTTTCAACTACAAAGTTTTAGATCTCGTCGAGCACTACAACTTTGGTATAGAACATTTCTCCATCTAAGGTCATCTGAAAAATTCAAAAACTTGAAATTCAAAATATGAGACTTAATTTATATATTTGGAACCCTAAATGATCTCAAACAAAAATTTTATCAACTACAAAGTTTTAGATCTCGTCGAGCTATACAATTTTGATATAAAGTTTGTCTTCATGCTGCTTCATTTAAAAAAGATATGAATTTATTTGTGCTGCAGCTATTTTTAAGAACGGTGGACTTAGTCATTTTTAGAGGCGGTTGTCTTAAGAGAACCGCCTCTGAAAATCACTCATTTTCAGAGACGGTTGACATAAGCAACCGTCCTTAAAATAGTATTTTCAGAGGCGGTTCTCTTAACGGAACCGCCCCTAAAAATGGATACATTTTTAGAAGCGGATTTCTTAATGGGACCGCCTCTAAAAATTGATTTCTAGCAACGGTTGTATAGCTACAGTGCCTCCCACGAAGGTTAGTGACGACGTGCTAAGACAACCGCTTCTATTAGAAAAGGGAGGCGCCTTAAAAAAATCATTTCTGTACTAGTGTCGTGCGAGACGTGTGCAAGGCGGAGCAGCACGGCGTCCATGTGGGTTGAACTGGTCCACTCGAATCGAGCGGAGCATTCCAACCATATCTGAGGGATTCCCTCGTAGGTCAGACCCAACCCACACGGCTTCTCAACCAAACGCATGTCCATCTTGGTCGAACCTGTTCCAACCCAGTTCAATCCTCACTCAAACCAAACACAGCCTTGGTGGACGACTCATAATGGAACATCACTAACCAAAGCTTTTTTTTACTGGACTTGCACGGATACTTGATGGAATTATGGGCGCACGCGGGCAATTAAAGGTGAGCTTATTGGTTCAGCTAGGCAACCCAGTCCATGTCCCCAATTCAGCTAGGCACAATCAATCCATCTTATTTAACCTGTAATTGAAGACCCATAATTGAATTTCATTTCACTAACAGATACTTTTGACCGGACTTGCACCGGTACCAATCCATGATGGAATTAATGGCGCACCCAGCAAGTTAAAAAATTCCCCAAAAGCACAAGCACTCTGCATGCTTACCTTGTTTGTGTATGCATTAATGAAACTCTGACGTCCTTCATGAGCGCATTACACAAATCCTTCAGCAGCGATGCTGCTCCTCCAGCTGCGTTTGCTGCTCTCTGCCACCGCAACCAACAGTGCAACCGCTTCCTCGCCAAGCCAGCCAAGCCATAATGGTGACGAAGGAGCTCTTCTCGCTTTCAAGGCAAAGATGTCCGGCCACTCTGGCGTGCTGGACTCGTGGAACAAGAGCACCAGCTACTGCAGCTGGGAGGGCGTCACCTGCGGCAGGAGGCACCGGTGGAGGGTGGTAGGCCTGAACCTCAGTTCCCAGGGGCTCGCCGGCACCATCTCCCCTGCCATCGGCAACCTCACCTTCCTGCGCTTACTCGACCTGAGCTACAACAGCCTTCAGGGTGAGATCCCAGGCTCCCAGCCAGCATCGGCTCCCTCCGGCGGCTCCGAGGCCTTCACCTGGTTCAAAACACGCTCACTGGTGTCATCCCGAGTAACATCAGCCGCTGCATCAGCCTCCGTGAGATTTTCATCCAAGACAACAAAGGCCTGCAGGGAAGCATCCCAGTTGAGATTGGCAGCATGCCGGCACTCTCGGTTCTAGCGCTGGACAACAACAGCATTACCGGAACCATCCCGTCGTCTCTTGGCAATCTTTCCCGGTTGGCCGCGTTGTCCTTGGCAATCAACTATCTTGAGGGATCAATCCTTGCAGGCATCGGCAACAATCCATATCTTGAGGGATCAATCCTTGCAGGCATCGGCAATAATCTCTCTGGTTTGCTCCCTCCTTCCCTGTACAACATATCATCTGTTTATTACTTTTTTGGCAAACAACAAGCTGCATGGCCGTCTACCAACTGACCTGGGGAAAAGACTTCCGAGCATCCAACAGCTTGGGATTGGAGATAACCGATTTACTGGAGCACTTCCTCCGTCGTTAACAAATTTCTCCAGGCTCCAGAAACTTTACGCCGAAGTCAATAGTTTTATCGGAATTGTTCCTTCCGGATTGGGCAGATTGCAAAATCTTGAAGTGTTTGCTCTGTCTGATAACATCTTAGAAGCAAACAACGAGGAAGAGTGGCAATTTATTGGTTCTTTGGTGAATTGTAGCAGATTACAGGGACTGGGCTTTGGATGGAACAGGTTTGTAGGGAAGCTGCCAGGTCCGTTGGTTAATCTGTCTATTAATCTCCAGTGGTTGCAGATTGCCAACAACAACATATCCGGTGTCATCCCATCAGATATTGGAAATTTGGCAGGTCTTGAGATGCTTGATTTTGGCAAAAACTTACTCACTGGGGTCATTCCTGAAAGCATCGGGAAGCTTACACGATTGCAGCTGCTAGCCCTCGATTCAAACTACCTCTCAGGACATCTACCATCCTCCATCGGTAACCTTTCCAGCCTACTTCAACTTTATGCAGGCAACAACAGCTTGGAGGGACCAATTCCACCAAGCATTGGAAACTTGAGCAAACTTTTAGCCCTAGATCTGTCAAATAGCAACCTTACTGGATTGATTCCTAACGAAATTATGGAGCTGCCATCGATCTCATGGGTTCTCGATCTGTCCAACAACATGCTGGAGGGACCACTTCCGTTAGAAGTTGGTAGTTTGGTACATCTTGAACAGCTCTTCCTATCAGGAAACAAACTGTCAGGTGAGATACCTGATACTATTGGCAACTGCAGGGTCATGGAAATCCTCTCAATGGATGGCAACTCGTTCCAAGGAAGCATACCTGCTACGTTCAAGAACATGGCAGGCTTGACTGTACTTAATTTGACGGACAACAAACAAGATGGAAGCATCCCTGGCAACCTGGCTACCCTTACCAACCTACAGGAGTTGTATTTTGGCCACAACAATTTATCCGCAACAATCCCAGAGCTTTTAGTTTATTCAACATCGCTGCTTCGTCTAGATTTGTCCTACAACAATTTGCAAGGTGAAGTACCAAAAGGAGGAGTTTTCAAAAATTTGACTGGACTATCAATTGTTGGTAACAATGCGTTATGTGGGTGGATACCACAGCTCCATCTGTCAAAATGCCCAAGCTCTTGTGCAAGAAAGAATAGGAAAGGCACTCCCAAGTTTCTTAGAATAGCAATCCCAGCGATAGGAAGTCTCATCTTGCTTTTTCTGGTTTGGGCTGGATTTCACTACAGAAAGTCCAAGATAGCACCGAAGAAAGATCTACCACCACAGTTTGCTGAGGTAGAGCTTCCAATAGTTCCGTACAATGATATACTGAAAGGAACAGATGGATTTTCAGAAGCAAATGTGCTTGGAAAGGGAAGATATGGTACAGTATACAAGGGCACACTAGAAAATCAAGCCATTGTCGTCGCCGTAAAGGTGTTTAATGTCCAGCAATCATGATCCTACAAAAGCTTACAGGCTGAATGTGAGGCACTAAGAAGAGTGAGGCACCGATGCCTTCTAAAGATCATTACATGTTCTAGCATCAACCACCAGGGTCAAGACTTCATAGCACTAGTCTTTGAGTTCATGGCTAATGGCAGCTTAGATAGATAGATCCACTCAAATTTAGAAGGCCAAAATAGACAAGGAGCGCTCGATCACATCACGAGAGGTTGGATATCGCTGTGGACATTGTGGATGCTTTGGACTATCTTCACAACGGTTGCCAGCCATTGATCATCCATTGTGATCTCAAGCCAAGTAACATTCTTCTCAATCAGGACATGAGAGCTTGAGTTGGAGATTTTGGCATTGCTAGAGTTCTAGATGAAGCAACAAGCAAACATCCTGTGAATTCCAGTAGCACCATAGGAATAAGAGGTTCCATTGGATATATTGCTCCAGGTAACTAAAGTTATTTTGTTTCATGCTTCAAATAATAGCATCTATCCCTATTAGCTAATCAATATGTGCTGCTGCATGGGTTAGTAATTGTTAAAAAATAAGTTAGAAATTCATGGATAATTGGGTTAGAGCTCAACAAAATTGCTTATCTTTGCACTTTCCCATTTGCTCATATGCTTGCCTTTAGTTTGAATCTTAGCTTCCGCTATGTGTTGGATATAGAAACTGGCATTCAATGCTTCCCTCAAACATGTACCCATCGTCTGCGACACACATAATGCATTTATACCATAAGTGGATAACTTGGAAAATATATATGGTTACTTTTAAAATAGTTTTTTAAACAACAGATGCATGCTATTAGATTTAGACTCAGAATTAGTTTAAAATGTTTATAATAACAACACAGGTGGGTTATTTTAAGTTAGTTTTCACAATGTCATATGTTTGTAATTTAAATATACAAGATAGGAAAGGCCATTTAAGAATGTTTTTATAATGGTCGAGGGGTGTAATTTTTTAGAAAGCACAATATACCAAATGCATATTATCACCACTGGTAACTATAGTATACTGAATTGATGGCTAATGCCTTTTATTTTTTTTTAGAACATCTCAGATTTACTTTTAGTTATGGCTTATTGTCTTGTGAGCACTAATGTGGAGGCTCCAATAGGATTATCCAATTGCTAATAGTAAGATGCACATCAAGTAGTCTTTGAGTTTTATACATATATATATACCTATGTATCCTCATATTTCATTTCACTGCAGAATATGGAGAAGGGCTTGCGGTGTCAACTTCTGGAGATGTGTTTAGTCTTGGCATCACTTTGATCAAGATGTTCACAGGGAAGAGCCCGACAGATGATATGTTTAGAGATGGGATAAGCTTGCATTATTATGCCGAGGCAGCACTTCCTTACAAGATTATGGAGATAGCAGATTCCAACATCTGGCTGCATGATGGAGTAAACAATAGCAATGATACAAGACATATAACAAGAACCAAGGAATGATTGTCGGCCGTCATTCAGCTTGGTGTCCTTTGTTCAAAGCAATTGCCCACGGAGCGATTGTCAATGAACGATGCTGCTACAAAGATGCATGCTATCAGAGATAAATATATTTTTACTCAATAATAAAATGGTGTTAGTTCATATTAATCACCACTACCTTATACTATCATGTTTGTCTAAATGTATTGTTGAAGTCTATAATATATTTGCTTATCTTTTTCCAGTAGTAATATCTCCTTCTATTAATATATCTACCCAGGGAGCAACCCCCTCCTGTTATGTAAAAAAGTATACATATTTGATTATTTTGGGGATGAGCTGTACATGATTTTTATCAATTTTGCTGTGTTGTCTTTTATCATAGGCTGATAGGCATCATCATTGGTTAAGATGTTGGTGATCCCAAAAGACAATGGGTTAGTTGGAATCATGCTAGTATAAATGTCACGATGCCATTACACTATTTGTCTGACTTGTTATTACATTTTGTTGTATAATCAAACCATACCACTTTATACATATTTGATGATGTTGAGCCCACATATAGTCAATTGTATTTCGGTATTGCCTACAATCCCCCTTTTCTTCCCCTCCTCCGATGCCTCCAGCTTGCCTAATGCCCTAACCCACTAATGTGGGCTCAATGATGGTGGCCCTCCCATGCTTTGGAGAGGGACACAAGGCCCGTGTGGAAGTTCCAGATTGGTTTTGGTAATTGAGTGACAACCTTAGGTGGTACACTAGGTTGAGCAAGATATAGAACCATGGTGAAGATGTGGCTTGGTCATGTGATGATAGCGCCCATGTGTGGTTAATGTATTGTAATAGTAAGTACGTTTAGTCTGATATTCTATAATTTGAAATATATATGTGTTTGGACTTCCTAGACCCACATATATATATTGGTACTTGATTTTACATTGTAAAACTGGGTGCGTCAAATTGTTATCGGTTTGGTTTGGTCTACAAAGCTACACTACATGATGAAACACCAGTGGCCGTCAAAGTGGTAGACCAATCCAAGGTGGGAGCACCGAAGAGCTGGGTTGCAGAGTGTGAGACCCTCATAAATGTCAGGCACCGCAACCTCATAAAGCTGGTCACGGTTTGCGCAAGTGCTGATTTTGCTGGCAATTACTTCCATGCTGTGGTCTATGCGTTAATGAGCAATGGGAGCCCGGAGGACTGGATCCACCGCCGTAAACCAAGATGGGACCGGGCTCAGTGCTGAAGAGGTGCTCAACATAGTCATTGATGCTGCCAGCGCGCTGGAGTACATGCAAAATGACTGTGGGGGGTCAGGTTGTGCGCTGTGACATCAAACCTAGCAATGTGCTGCTGGATGGAGACATGACTGCAAAAGTTAGTGACTTTGGTTTAGCCCGGTTGTTAGCTCCAGTGCAACCAGAACAACAATCAATTTCCAGTATTCATGGAATCAAGGGCTCCATTGGATATATTCCACCTGGTAGTACATTATTCCTCTATACTTCTAATACTCATGCAAAGAAAAGTATTTACTATATATTGTGCATATTGCAACCAGTACTACTCATCATTGTGTTTATATTTCAACCCTAAACCTGTGTTATTCATAATATGGATATGGGAGTCTACAGCTACGGCGTAATGCTCCTCACGATGATCTGGCAAGAGCCCTCTCGAACAGAGCTTTGGAGCTGAGGGGAAATCAATCTCATAAAATGGGTGCCAGATCATTTCCCCCATCGAACTCACGAAGTAATTGACAAGCGACTCATCCTGAGGAAAACGAACATGACTTGGTAGTTTTAAAAATAGAGAATGAGAAATTTAGAAATCTTATTGTATTACTCAATTTTTGTAGATATTTTATTTAAAAATGGCTAAATCATAGATTTTAGAATTTGGAATCTAATTTTAAATAATCTCTTGGAGCTACTCTTAGACAATGTGCACATTAGGGGGCGCAAGCAGCAACGGCGATTGGGGTGGGACGTGTCGTCGCCCAGTCCAATCATCACTGCTTGTAGGATTGTATATTGGGCAGCATAAGTGGCGTGGCCAGGGCAGGCCCTAAAAATTAGGGGCCCCTAATCTGAGCATCTCTAACAGTACCTAAAAAATTCTTCCTAAAATCATTGAGTTTTCCAAGTCCCAAAACAGCATTGGAAGCATCAAAGATGGGTTTCTCTAATAGTTTTCTAAAAAAGCACTCCTAAAAAATAAAAAAACAAATCCAGTGGCATTTTTGTAAATGGCGTCATCTAAAGGTACAGAAAAAAGCATCGTGTGCGTCGCTGCGGTTCGACTGCTCCTCGGACTCGGCGAGGGGCGTGATGGACTCGGCGAGGGGCGCGATGTCGGAGCCGACGGGCGCTGACTCGCCGGCCGGCACCAGGACCGTGGCAAGAATGCTGTGCTGCTCGGGCAGTCGAGCTCATCACCGGCCGCCGCGCCATCAACATCGCCGGCCGTCTGGCGAGCTTTAAAAGGCGCAGGGCTGCGTCTCATCCAATTGCTGTGCAGCGGCACGATCACGATGGGGCGCGTGGCTGTGGGTGCTCGTGAACGCTGGATTGGTGGTGTCTGAGCTCCGGGTGATTCCGTAGTGGATGCGTCCGTGTACGTAGTGGATGCGTCCGTGGGGGCCGGGGAGCTCGTGCGGCTTTATGTCGGAGCATGCGTGGCGCGTAGCGGTGTGTCCGGACACCGGCGACAAGCCTCTGCGGCGAGGAGTATGCAGTCGATACTGGATGCCCAGGGTGCGGGGTGGATATGCGGACGCGACCACGCGCGTATCTTTACACGCAAACAGCTTGGTTTTCCCAAATGCTAAGACATGGGGAAGTGGGATTAGGAGTGGTTAGAGATTGATTTTTTCCAATCTTACTAAAAATCGTAGATTAGGAGAGTATTTTGATAACTCTTGGAGATGCTCTCAGTAATAAGTGACTAAGCTTAACTAATTTGAGCCCAGTTAGCACTACTGGAGGCGCATGCTTTGCCGAGGGCCTCTAGCCCTCGGCAGGCCCAGAAACCCTCGGCAAAGGCTTTGTCAAGGGCTGACCTCGGCAAAGACCCCTGGGGGAATTTTTAGACGACGAAAGGGTCTTTGCCGAGGGCCCTTTATCGGGCACTCGGCAAAGCCTTTGCCGAGGGCTAGGACGGCCCTCGGCAAAGAAAAGAGGCCGTCAGGCGCCGGCGCCGTTGGCGGTTTCTTTGCCGAGGGCCCACCCTCGGCAAAGAAATGTTTTTTTTTTGAATTTGTTTGCCGAGGGCCGACCCTCGGCAAATAAATTTTTTTATTTTTTTAAAAACCTTTGCCGAGGGTCTCCTCCCTGGCCCTCGGCAAAGAAATTTTCAGGATTTTTTAAAAATTCTTTGCCGAGGGCCGGCCCTCGGCAAAGTCGGCAAATAATTTTTTTTATTTTGAAATGGTTTTTTTGAATTTTTTTAAACCTTTGCCGAGAGCTTTCTCCCTGGCACTCGGCAAAGAAATTGTCAGGATTTTTTTCTAAAAAAATCTTTGCCGAGGGCTATTGCTTGGCCCTC